AAGACGCTTAGTAGGCGTCTTAGAGGTTTTAAGGTATTATAAGCTATAGTAATCTATAATCACTTAGGTAGTATAACTATTCTTAATATAGTAGTACTAGCGGCGTAAGGCGTCCTTAATCGCGAGAAGTTCCTTCTTATAGACAGGGTAGTTAAGTTCTACTACTTAGAGCTTACGACCGTTAAAAGCGACCGGATAGAGTTTCCTATCGTCCCTAAGCTAGTATAGCACTGCCCTAATAGCCTACTTACTTGCATTAGTTTTAATAATAAAGGGCTTACTTAGGTTAGGGAGTGCTAGTACTAGGTAGCTGCATAATACCTTCTTAAGGGCTTCGAAGGAGATAGAGCATTATATATTCTACTTAATTAGGCGTTTCTTCTTAGTACGTAGGGTAAGGTTACTCTCCTTAAGGAGATCGCTTAATAGTATAGCTATCCTTACGAAGTCTCTAATATACTTACGGTAGAAAGATGCTAGCCTAGTAAACTATCTTACTTCTTAAGCGTTCCTTAGGATTAGCTAATCTCGGATAGAGGCAATCTTATCCTCTATAGGTCTTACTTAGTTATAGGAAACGTAATGCCTATAGAACTCGAACTCTTAAACTCTAATAGAGCACTTCTTAGGGGATATAAAGAGCTCCTAGGCCCGAAGGGCATCTAATACCTATTTTAAGTGCTGTTCGTATTCCTTAAGTGTTTTAGAGTACACGATAATATCGTCTAAGTATACTATAACGCTTTTATATAGCTAGTTAGCTAGAATATCGTTTATTAAGGACTAAAAGCTTAAAAGGGCGTTATATAGCCTAAAAGGCATTACCTTATACTCGTATTTACCTTAACGAGTGTTAAAGGCTGTCTTCTATCTGTCTTCTTCCTTAACTCGTATTTATTAAAAGCCCGAAGTTAAGTCGATCTTACTAAAGTATCTAGCTCCTTAAAAAGCGTTTAAGCAATCGTTAATGCGAGGGAGAGGGAAGCGGTCCTTAACTATTGCATTGTTTAAGGCCCGATAATCGATATATATTCGCTATTTCCCTTCTAGCTTAGGTACTAGTAATACTAGGCTACCCTAAGCTAAGTAGGAGCGAGCGATTAAGCTACGGATAAGAAGCTCCTTAACCTGCTTCTCTTACTCTATTATCTATACTTAAGATAGTTAGTATAGCTATTAATTTACTAGCTTATAGTCGCTTATATCGATAGAGTGCTCTATTACTCTCTTTATAGGCAGCTTAGCTAGTAATAATAAGCGGAAGAGGTCTAAGTTAGTATTAATAAGCCGTTAGAGAGAGGCTTCCTTACTTAAGGGGGGAGGATCGTCTCTAGGCTTAAGGGGTAGGTTTCTATCGGGCTCTAAGTCCGGGGGACGGATATCTTCTATAGATATTAAGAAGAGAGGGAGATCTTAATTCTATTTAAGGAGCTCTTCTAGCTCTTAGAGGGAATAGATATCTTCGTTAATAGTCTCCGTCGTTAAGTAGTAGAGAGCTACTCTATAGGGAACTATATATTTAGTACCCTTAACGTTTAAGTATAGCTTACTAGTCTAGAAGTTAATAGTTAGGTTATATTATCGGAACTAGGAGAGGCCTAAGATTACGTCGTATCCTCTTAAGTCGAGCACTCTCGCTATAAGGGTACTYTTAAAGTTCCTAAGCTAGTATAGAATCTCTATACTAGTTAAGCTTTCTATTAAGCGGCCGTCGGGGAGTTTAACTTGCCTAATAGGAAGATCTACTTAATACTAAGGGAACTAGGTAGTAATGTTCTTAGAGACGTAGATTCCTAAAGCTATAGTATCGAATAGGAACTTAGCTAGGACTTAGGTATCCTTCCCTAGTAAGCCTAGGGCTTAGAGAAGATTAGTCCTAATAGTATTTAAGCAATCGAAGCGAGCGTTAAGAGGCATCGAGAGTAAGGACAATTACTAGGGCGATTTATTGTCCTCTAATAAATCGTTACTTAGTTTTTTAACTTAGATGCATTACGAGCTTCCTAATTACGTTACTTAGCCTTAAGTTCTAGCTTAAGCTGCTTAGAGCATTTAAACTAGATATAGCTAGCTACTCCGCAGTTATAATACTTTAGAGAGAAGTTAGTCGAAGTAGGCTTACGTAAGTTGTCTTGCCTAACACGTTAGTCTAAGGAGTTTAGGTGTTCTAACTACCGACGGGTAGCTCTCTTCTTTCCTCTAAGGGAGCGATAGGCAGCTCGGTTAGAGCGATTACGTAAGCCTGCTTAATCTAAGCGAGGCTCTCTGCGTTAATCCGCAATCTCTATATTAGCTATATTAGTTCGCTAGGCTTAGTCTATAATAGGCTATAAGATAGACTTCTAAGGAGTTAAGCTAAGGCGAATAAGTTCTATACGGATCTTAAGCTTTAAGCTATCGTAAAAGGCTTAATAGAT